ACCTCCCTCCCTCCTTTTTTTACTCACCAAGTAGCTCTCTGTCTGCCACGTGTGCTTCCCATTTCCACCATTTTTGAATATAATTTTTTGTTTTATTAGTTTTTTCCCCTTCTTTTCGTCTTTCTTCTTTCAATTGACACAGACAGAAGCTTGAGCGAAAGATGAAGAAGGTTGTTTCTGGGCTTTACCTTCAAACAAACCCATTTCTTGGGGTTTTCGGCATCGAAACGTTGTCGAGTTTTGTATCAATTTCCAAAACCCTAATTTCAATTTCACTCGGTACACTCTCTTTCCATTGCTTCTCCGAGTTTTGTTGTTTCTATCTTTCTTATTAGCAGAGGATAATAAGAATTTGATGTTGTGAATCTGGGTCTCTATCCCGTGATTCAAAGTATTGGGTTTTAGAGCTAGAAAGCAAAAAGCTGTTCCCTTGAGAGATTGCGCACTAACTCGAATGAGGAAAAGCTGATATCTTTTTTTTCCAGTATCTACCGTATGGGTGGTGTTTTTTTTGGCTCTGACTTTGATGTGGAAGTAATCATATGAGATAGAGAGTGGGTTAGGGGAATGATGCTACAAATCATGGATGAATTGATGATTCCACTGAGACATTAGGATATATTGAGTGAGTGAGTGAGTGACAGTTGAATCTGGTGAAACACCATTCATAAAGGATCTCCACTTTCTACATTTATCAAGAGGCACTCAATTACTCGCTCCACCATTATTCCCTCACGCTCAACGAGAAAACGACAGGTCAAGCAAAGCATATATATCTTCCCTTTTCATTCCTGCTTGTTTGGCTTTTTAATGTGACTAGATAACTTGACCTTACTTTCTTATATAGGTTGCTGCTGAATTTGAGAAGATGAAGTGGCTTCTGCTTTTAATCATCATCTGTGATGTAGTTCCTCTACAAGGACTCACTACAAATGTCTCTGCGAGACTCCATGTTGTGAACATTGGCTCGGTTTTCACATTCGATTCTCTTATCGGTAAAGTCGTCAAAGTTGCTATGGAGGCTGCTGTTGAAGACGTGAATGCCAGCCCTAGCATTCTTAACAACACTCTACTCAGGATCATCATGCATGACACAAAATTTAGTGGATTCATGAGTATTATGGAACGTAAGTGAGTCTGCTCTGTGATTGTTGGAATGATTATTATGTGTTTTACTCTGTCCAATTTATGTTGTTTCCTTTTATTTTTTATGTATCTCATGGGATATTAAAACTTTATCTTCTCTTTATTTACTTTAGTTTCTAACTACAACATGTAAGTATCATCATCTTGTCCATATTATGATGTTCGGTTTACGAATGATTGGTTTTGTTTAACATTGACAGCTCTGCGGTTCATGGAGTCTGAGGCAGTTGCCATAATTGGCCCTCAAAGATCAACATCCGCCCGTGTAGTATCTCACATTGCAACAGAACTAAGGATTCCTGTACTATCCTTCACTGCCACAGACCCTACCATGTCTCCTCTGCAGTTCCCTTTCTTCATCAGAACTTCACAAAATGATCTCTTTCAGATGGCCGCCATAGCAGACATTGTTCGCTTCTATGGTTGGAGAGAGGTGATAGCAATCTACGGGGATGATGATTATGGCCGAAATGGGGTATCTGCCTTGGGAGACAAGTTAGCGGAGAAGCGCTGCAGAATCTCATACAAAGCAGCTTTGCCCCCTGAACCTACCAGAGAGAACATCACTGACTTGCTGATTAAAGTAGCTTTGAGTGAGTCACGGATCATTGTTGTCCATGCTTCTTTCATCTGGGGCCTAGATTTGTTCTATGTGGCTCAGAATCTTGGTATGATGAGCACTGGTTATGTTTGGATTGCTACCAACTGGCTTTCTACTATCATAGACACAAACTCTCCTCTGCCCTTGGACACCATGAATAACATCCAAGGGGTTATTGCACTGCGCCTGCACACTCCCGATTCTGTCATGAAGAAGAACTTTATTCAAAAGTGGCATAACTTAACTCATGTTGGACTGAGCACTTATGGACTATATGCTTACGACACTGTCTGGCTGCTTGCTCAAGCCATTGAAGATTTCTTACAGGGAGGTGGAAACGTCTCGTTTTCGAAGAATCCAATTATATCTGAGCTTGGGGGCGGAAACTTGCACCTTGATGCTCTAAAAGTCTTTGATGAAGGAAGTATATTTCTTGAGAGCATCTTACGGGTTGATAGAATCGGTTTAACCGGTAGGATGAAGTTTAATAGAGACAGGAACCTTGTAAATCAAGCATTTGATGTGCTTAACATCATTGGCACTGGTTACCAGACCATTGGCTATTGGCATAGCCATATAGGTTTGTCTGTGATGCCGCCGGAGGAGCTGGGGAACCCATCTTTTCTGGGACAGCAGAAGCTTCATAGTGTTGTCTGGCCAGGACATACTACACAAAATCCCCGTGGGTGGGTGTTCTCGAATAATGGAAGGCATTTGAGGATTGGAGTTCCAAATCGTGACACGTTCGAAGAGGTTGTCTCAGTTAAAAGCAATGGGATCATCACTGGCTTCTGTGTTGATGTCTTTACTGCAGCTCTCAACTTATTACCTTATGCAGTCCCGTTTGAGTTTGTAGCTTTCGGGAATGGCCATGACAATCCAAGTAACTCTGAGCTTGTGCGCTTGATAACGGCTGGGGTGAGTACTCTTTCTGTTATGATGATGACTTTGTTGGCGGGTGTATAGTTACATGTTTTGTGGCTCAAAACATCCTTTACGCAGGTCTATGATGCAGGTGTTGGTGATATCACCATCATAACAGAGAGAACCAAGATGGCAGATTTTACTCAGCCGTATGCAGAGTCAGGGCTAGTAGTGGTGGCTCCTATTCGGAAGTTGGGGTCTAGTGCAATGGCCTTCTTGAGGCCATTCACCCCCCAGATGTGGCTGGTTGCAGCTGTCTCTTTCCTCATTGTGGGTGCAGTCATTTGGTTTCTGGAGCATAAACACAATAACGATTTTCGAGGCCCTCCTCGTAGACAAGTCATCACTACTTTCTGGTAAGACAGAATAAGCTCCATCTAGATGAACTCAATTCCAAACACTCTACAAATTTTTCTCTGAAATATTTCGTTGTCTTGCAGGTTCAGCTTTTCAACTCTTTTCTTTGCGCATAGTAAGTGTATACTCTCCGCACCTTCTCTTCTTTCTTAGTTGTTTTCCATTTTAAATCTGGCAAGGTGTCCAATGTTCTCTGCTGAATCTATACAGGAGAGAGGACCACCAGCAACCTTGGACGAATAGTGCTACTAATATGGCTATTCGTAGTTCTCATAATCAACTCAAGTTATACCGCAAGCCTCACGTCAATCCTCACAGTTCATCAGCTGTCTTCGCCAATCAAAGGCATAGAAACTTTGGAAACAAACAATGATCCTATTGGGTATCCACAAGGCTCGTTTGTCAGAGACTATCTGGTGAACGAGCTTGGTATTCATGAGTCAAGACTGGTCCCTCTTCGGTCTCCAGAGGAATACGATAAAGCATTGAGAGATGGTCCAGGAAAAGGTGGTGTTGCTGCTGTTGTTGATGAACGCGCTTACATAGAGCTTTTCCTCTCAAACCGATGTGAGTTCGGCATAGTTGGTCAAGAGTTTACAAAAAATGGATGGGGATTTGTGAGTATTGTTCTGACTATGTAGCCTTCAGAATATTTAAAATTGATGATGATATAGATTTTTTACCTCCCATTGTCCAGGCATTCCCACGTAACTCGCCTTTGGCTGTGGATGTCTCAACGGCGATTCTGCAGCTATCAGAAAATGGAGATTTGCAGAGAATTCGGGACAAATGGTTGCTGAGGAAAGCTTGTTCCTTGCAAGGTGCAGAGATAGAAGTGGATAGGTTGGAGCTTAAGAGCTTTTGGGGATTGTTTGTGGTGTGTGGAGTGGCATGCGTGCTTGCTCTTGCAGTGTATACAGTGTTGATGATACGTCAGTTCGGACAACAACGTCCTGAAGAAGCAGAAGGCTCGTTAAGGAGAAGAAGCTCACCGTCTGCACGAATCCACTCCTTTCTCTCCTTTGTGAAAGAGAAAGAAGAAGACGTCAAGGCTCGGTCCTCTAGGGAAAGGCATCTTGAGGATACCTCAGTAAATGGTTAAAGTTCCTGCAACTGAAGTGTTTCCAGCAAATTAAATGCACCAGAGAGACCTCATAGTGGCTCTAGTATGTACTTATATCCCTCTTTTGTTACTAAACTTGAGATCAAACTCTATCTATATTTACTCTCATTGGAATTTCGATTAATATATCTGAAGATGTACAACAAAAAAACGGAAAAACTTGTCAAATGTCTGCTTCTCATCTCATGGTTACAAATGGGAAGAGCTCTCAATTTTCAGCTACAGCATCTAGAATCCAGGAAAGCCTATATAATCTGGGGAAGCATTGTAGAAGCTGAAGCTAGTGGTGTGGATTTGTTATTATTAACGTGCTCAAAATACAGCAGGAAAGTTGAAAAAGGGGAACAGAGAAAAGAAAGTCAGTCATCAGAGAGAAACGAAGCTGTGGCGTCTTGCTGTTTTGCACCGACAGAGAAGAACTCGGAGATAACTTCAAGAGGCATTCCCTTAGTCTCCGGAACCTTGAGGTACACAAAAACCCATGCGACAGCGCAGACAAATGCATAAATGCCAAAGACACCAGCGAGGCCTAGAGATTTGAGCATTACAGGGAGAGTGTAAGTGACGATGATGTCACAGATCCAGAAAGTGAGAGCACATATGGTGATGCAGAGACCACGCACAGAGGTAGGGAAAATCTCAGAGCAGATGATGTTTGGGATTGCCCCAAAACCCATCACGAAACAGCTCAAATACACCATAACGCTTGCTGTTGATAACAACGCGTTTGCTGTGCCTCCAAGCTTCACTAAGCTTCCTATAACCAGCGTTATCAGCGACAGTATTAGAATGGGGATTGTGGAAAGCATCAGAGACCTGCAATCACAGTTTTGGTATTGTTACTTTTGTCACATTTATTATTACCATTCAGCTGAAAAAGAGATGAGATTAAAAGCAGAAGAGAACTCGCCTTCTCCCAGCTACATCCATTAGTCTCATGGATACAAGAATGCAGGGAAGCATCAAGAATGTGGTCAACGCGCTAATGAGGAGAGATGCAGAGTCTGCGCTTATTCCGAGGTTTGTCAACAGACCCGAAACACCTGTTTCCTCCAATATTTGTGGCGTATAATACATCACTCCATTTATTCCTGCAAACTGCAAACATTCTTCTTTTTCTTTGTTTTCATACTTTTCTGTTATGGGTCTTTACTTTTTAAAGACAAGAAAAGATTACCTGTTGCAGTATCTGAAGCCCAACTCCAACTATCAAAGCTCTCTTCACGCCTGGTTCCATCAGCTCCCTCCAGCCTGGACCATCCTTAACCGCCTGTGGCATCGGTGCAATCTCGCCTTTACCACCAGGCATCATCGAAGCTTGGCTTACAAGTGCAGCAGCATGCACATATCCACTCTCATGATCAGGACCATTAGCTTCTGTGTGGAAGGATAGAAGCGATCCACGTCGCGTAAAACCAG